CAGCTAAAGGAGTTTATTCCTTTTTTCCCCCTTTTATTGATTTTAGAGAGAGAAGTGAGAGAGAGAAACATCAATGAGAGAGAACATCAATTGGCCACCTCCTGCATGCCCCCCACTGGTGATCAGGCCCAAACCCTGGGCATGTGCCCTGACCGGGAATTGAACAGGTGACCTCTCGGTGTATGGGTCAACGCTCACCCACTGAGCCACACCAGCCAGGCAAAAAGTATGTCCATCTACAAATAAGAAAGGGTGGTGGTCAGGGGTGGGGGGTTAGGGTGTGGGAGACTTTTTGCATGGCATCAATTTTGTTAAAATCTCCTCTGCCATCGCCTGCCCCAAGGCAGGATATCTCTGCATTCTGCATTTCTTTATCTCTGCATTTTGCATTTCTTTAAGTAACCATTTACTCATCAAGCCAGTCTTTACTGACCTTTTGTTCCTTTTGTAGTATTTCCTGGAATTGCTTCGGGCAAGCTTGGTGCTTGGCAAAAGGTGCTTCTTGCCCTATATAGTATGTGAATTACCCCTGAATAAACGAGACTTGATCAGAGCCCTGTCTTGTCTCCATTTCTGGTGTCTCTTGTCCCTCCTCATCCTCACTCCCCCTCTAGAGTCCGCGTTGCTCGACCTGTGGGACGGGTCATTAGGGGAGTCTTGGTTTTTTGTTTCTGTATTTACTAAAAAGACTTGAGTGATTAGATTCTTCAATCCACGTGTATGTACATTCACGGTCACTTAACAATGGTGATACGGATGTTGGGCCACTCTGTCACTGCAGAACATCAGTGTGCACGCACAGTCAGGTGGTGTAGTCCACTACTGCAACTGCATGTGCTGCACGCTGGACAACTGCAGCACACGTCTGCTCGTACAGCATCACCACGAACATGTCAGTAATGCACTGCATTAGGACGTTATGACAGCCACAATGTCACTAGGCAACAGAAAATTTTCAGCTTCATTATAATCTTATGGGACCACCACTTTATGTGGTCCATCACTGACCGAAATGTTATGTGGCAGATGACTGTACAGCTTTAATTAAACTCCAAAATAAAATATTATCCACCACAAAAAAGGAAATCTTACCATTTGCAACAGCATGGATGAAACTTGAAGGTATTATGCTAAGTGAAATAAGTCAGCCAGAGAAAAACTAATACAAAATAATACTGAGTGGCAGCTATAATTGAAAAATAAAAGTTTAAACTCAATACTTTAGACAATATGCTGTAACAGCGCTGGATTCTGGTCCCCCACTGGGAGTTGTCTTCGCTGTTTGTTTGGTGACTTGCCTGCATTAATTCTATAGCCTTATCTCCCCTGCAGTGCGTGGCCACTGATATTTTTGCTCAGTTTTGTATTTTCTTCCAGTGTTTTTATTTGTCAGCCTAGATTGCTGAGACTGGCCCTGTACCAGCACAGTTTAGCTGACCAGAGCTACGCTTCAGCACCTACACCTAGCAAGGCGTTCACCCTTTGTGACAGACCTACGTGTGGGCTGGGGAGGAACACAGTCAAAGATCAGGCACTTTACAAGTCTTCCTGGCTTTTATTTTCTGCTGGGCTTTCTTATGGCTCCTCCGCACTTGCTCCAGGCACCATAGTCACCCAGGGAAGACAAGCAGATAACTAAGCCCTGTCTCTGGTCTGTCCTCAGCCTGCACACACTGCACCTTGCCCAAATGCAGTCTTCCGGACCACCAGGAACACATCTGAGCTTATCAAGACCCACAATGTAAAAAAAAATCCAATATAATTAATTTATTAAATAGGAAATAAAATTACTAGATGGTCAAGTCACTTGGGAAAAGTAGATACCTAGCTTTTCAAAAGGCCAAAAAAATCCATTCAAGAGCTGATTTTTTTTTTAGAGTTCTTATTTGTTTATTTAATTTTTTTAAACTTATCTTATTGTTGAATGTATTACAGATGTTCCTCATTTTGCCCCTATTTGACTCCCTCCTCCTCATTCCCACCCCCCTCCTGCCTTTCCCCACACTGCTGTCTGTGTCCATCAGCTATGCGTACATACATATAAGTTCTCTGGTTTACTTCTTCCCACTCCCCAACCCCCCTTCCCTTTGAGATTTGTCAGTCTAACAACCAATTTGTACTTCTTAATCCCTTCACCTTTTTTACCCATTCCCTCAACCCCCCCTCCCATCTGGCAACCAACAAAACGTTCTCTGTATCTATGAGAATGTTTCTGTTCTGCTTGTTCATTAGAAACAATAGATATGTATTCATTGCCATTTTGTTTGTTCCTATCTTTTATCTTTTTCTTCAAGAAGACCCTTCAACATTTCATATAATACTGGTTTGGTGGTGATGAACTCCTTTAGCTTTTCCTTGTCTGGGAAACTTGTTATATGGCCATTGATTCTAAATGACAGCTTTGCAGGATAGAGTAATCTTGGTTGTAGGTTCTTGCTTTTCATCACTCTGAATATTTCTTGCCATTCCCTTCTGGCCTGCAAAGTTTCTTTTGAGAAATCAGCTGACAGTCTTATGAGAACTCACTAGTAGGTAACTAACTGCTTTTCTCTTGTTGCTTTTAAGATTCTCTCTTTGTCTTGAACCTTTTGCATTTTGATGATGATATGTCTTGAGGTGTGCCTCTTGGGGTTCATCTTGTTTGGGATTCTCTGTGCTTCCTGGATGTGTATGTCTGTTTCCTTCACCAAGTTAGACAAGTTTTCTGCCATTATTGTTTCAAATAGGTTTTCAATTTCTTGTTCTCTCTCTTCTCCTTCTGGCACCCCCAAGATGTGAATGTTGGTACGCTTGAAGTTGTCCCAGAGGCTCCTTACACTATCCTCAATTCTTTTGGATTCTTTTTTCTTTTTGCTGTTCTGATTGGGTGATTTTCATTTCTTTATATTCCAAATCGTTTGCTTCTTGGCTTTACCTACTCTACTATTGAATCTGTGTAAATTATTCTTTATTGCAGTTAATGCCTCCTTAATTTCTGACTGTGCCTCCTTCATTTCTGACTCATCGTTTTTTATGCTCCTGAGGCCCTCACTAAGTTCACTGAGGTTCTCACTAAGTTCATTGAGCATCCTTATAAGCAGTATTTTGAACTCTGCATCTATTAGGTTGCTTATCTCCATTTCACTTAGTTCTTCTCCTGGAGTTTTGTCCTGTTCTTTCATTTAGGACCTGTTTCTTTGTCTCCTTATTTTAGTGACCTCCCTGTGTTTGTTTCTATGTACTGTTTAAAAAGAGGTATGGGGCTAGCTGAGACCAGATTCTGCTTGTTTGAAAGAATTTAGGAAAACCTGAAGCAGGACCCAAGACAGATCAATCCTAAGGTAAAGCAACTGGTAACAGCTTGGGTGGGCCTGAAAGTTGGGTGGGGCGGGGCCTCAGGGAATCACCAGGGCGGGGCAACCAGTGTGAGCCAGGTTGCTGGAGTCCCAGATATGGCAACTGTCTGCCACCCCAGGGGAAGGCTCACCAAAGGAACAAAGGCCTCTGACAGCACGTCTGTCCAGAAAGCTGCCTCTCCACCCCTCGCTCCAGTGCCAAACAAGTAAGTTCTTCCCCATATGTCTCTGGTGCCTTTCAAGCTGCCTCCCCCATGCTAGAGCCTGGAGGGTGTGAGTCTGAGTAAGTCCGTGCGCGGGCCCTTTAAGAGGAGCTGCCTGGGGCTCCAGAAGCCTCAGCCTCCCTTAGCCTCAGTTCCCGCTGGTTTTTCCAGCGAGAAGTGATGGAGACTCTCTTCCTGGCGCTGGAACCCTAAGCTGGGTGCCTGGTGTGGGCCGGGTACCCCTCAGATCTCAGGGAGGACCTTCCCAACCAAGATGTCCCTCCTGATTTTTATCCGCCACACGTGGGTGTGGGACCAACCTGTCGTGCCTCTACCCCTCCTACCAGTCTCGATGTGGCTGCTTCTTTAATTTTGTAGTTGTAGGACTTCCATTCAACTCAATGTCAGGAAGTTTTGAATGATGGTTGTTCTGTAGTTTAGTTGTAACTTTGATATGGTTGTGGGAGGATGTGATACCACATTTACCCACCTGCCATCCTTACTGGAAAAGTCTCAACACCTGATTTTAAAAGCATCTACTCAGAACAGGAGAATCTCTGAGGCAAAGTAGTGATGTGAAACCACTCATTTTCTAGCCTGCGGCAGGAATTGTGGTACTGTCTTCAGGCCCCTGGGTTCCTGCCCACCTTGTTGAGGGTCCCCAGAGACTTCACTCCAGCATGCCCTGTCCTGACATTTTCCTGTCCACCGGGAATCCCTGTTCAGTTCCCTGATAGGCTGGACCCCTGCCTGGCTTAGAGGACACTTACCAGGCCCCTTACCTGTGCTCTCCCTTCACCAGAGCCACCTGAGCCTCCAGGGTTGGGCGAGTCTCCTTACTAACACCTAGCTGTGTAAGACTAAGTCCACAAAGTAACAGGAGCACCAACCACCTGCAATTCCAACCTTTACCTCAGTTCAGTCACTGTGATGAACCCAATGAGGGGTGATGCACAGACCCTCCCCACAAGAGCCAGATGCGGGACAGGGACGGCTCTACTTGGGCACCTCTCCTCCTTGCCTCCCCGAAGTCTACTCTCCCCTGACCTTTCCCTATGTTTAGCTGGCTCCACTACGTTCCTCCTCCAGCACCTATTTCCAGGTGAAAGAGCATTACACATGAACTGCAAATATTGCACTTTCTTTACTAACACATCAATTAATGCCCTTTGCCTAAGGTTTTTTAATCTATAAATGGAAATAATGTTCTTTAAAGATAGAGACCATGAGGTCTTCTCTACAGCCTTCATCATGCCTAACGCAAGACACACTAAAATTTTCAGAGTGAGTGAATGATTGCATCTAAAGCCCCACTTCTGAGGAGCAATCCTCAGTCAATAAATTCTTCTCCTGCTCCTGGTCCTCATCCCTGGTGCACACCCCAAAGCCACACCTCGATGTGCTCAGGGACCCAGAAGACTCAGCAGCCACTGTTCAGATGTGAATGGAAAGCAGCACCTACCTGGAAGGAAGTGGGAACACAGACGAGGTTCAGATTCTCCTGCTTCACTCTTTCAGCTGTGGAGACAGAAGTTGTGTTGGTGGATTTTCACTTTCTCACTTTACTTTTCTTGTCATATTTTCTGGACACATTTGCTCAAATCCAATGGAAAAGGAAAGGTCAACCCTCTACTGCATACTGCCTTTCATCCTGTGTCCCCACTCTTGCTGACCAAGTTGGTGAACATAGGTCACATGTCACAAGACAGGGACACTGGGAAGGCTAAGTAGGTGCTAATTACAGACAAAGCAAGGCCAGTGTTTGCTATTATTATGTGCCTGGCAACGTTCAAGAAACTTTGTACATATGCACTCTTTATCATAAAGGTCAGTTAGAACCCAGAGATAAGCTACCATTATTATCTCCATTTCACAGGTGAGGAAACTGAGGCACAGAAGTAAAGTAACTGGTAGTTAGGCAGCTCACAATTGGCAGAACTGCAATATGCTCTCAGATAGTCTTCACTACCTCTCTGCTACTTTACAGAGAAAAGGTAGAACTCAAATGTTATATTTAGTACAAAATATAGAATCATTTGTAGACCCCAGAGGGTTATTAGAGTGGGTTTGCTTATTCATTTGGAGTTTATACCTTTCAGAAAAACTTGATTTTAAAGTCTTAAGAAAAACACTGTCTTGTTCAGACTTAAGTCTTTTTAATCACTGGGTAGCACCTTCTGAAGTTTAGATGTCACTATTATGAAACCTACAGTTAATTCCTGAGCTTAAAATCCTCCACACACACAGTGCTAAGGCAGAAGAGTGTACAACACGAGAGCCCTCATTCAACCAATGAGAAGGCTTCCAGGAGCCATCACTCCAGTGGCACCATGGCCACTCCTTAAAGACAAAGCGTTGCTGGACTTTGTCTCCTGAGCAATGTCCCCTGGAACTAGAAGAGGTCAGCATTCTAGCAAGCCTCTCCTCTGGGCTTTGTTCTTACAAACAGCAGGGCAGTAAAACCTGTTGAACAGCCACAGGGGCTGAGAATTCCTCAGCATTTGCTAAGCAGAGAAACACCCTAATCAGACTAAGTCAGCACCTGCAGGACCCAGGCACCAACTGCAGGCCCCTCAAGTTCACTCCAGGGTCAAGCCTGCACTGATCACACACACTGAGGAGGATGAAACCTCACTCTAAGTTGGCTCCTCCCTCCCTGCTGAGCAGAGCACACAAAGCTGGGGTAACTCTGAAAGGTGGCTGAAGAAACCCAAGAACACCTCTGTCACAGAGCAGCAGGGACACTCAGCTGACCTCAGGCAAGCGGCCCCTCTTCCCAGCTCCACACTGCTGGAGACGACCCGGCCCAGGCAAAACCTCTGCCCCCTGCCCCGCCCCCACACACCCACTGCACACACGACTCAGCCAAGAGACAGCTCAGGAACATACCTATTCGCTGCACGGCATGGACAATTGTAGAACCACTTCCAATTCCCAGCACTTGATTATTCTGTCAAAAAAAGAGAGGAAAAATAACCAAAACATATTAATACCATCTTTCATTCCCTCTTCAGCCTGCTTCCTAGAGCTATAAAATTATTATGAACATTAGTCACCAACCAGGTACTGTGCCCATTTTACAGAAACACAACCACTGAACTTCAAAGCTGGCCTTTAATGCAGTGCCCAGTGGCAGTTTATCAGCAGAGCCCTCCTCCTTTCGTTGCTGACACTGACGTCACCAGCTCTACCTGTTGAAAGATATGCTGAGCAAGTTTAAGAACATTAAGAGTTGCCTGGCCAGTGTGGCTCAATGGTTGAGCGTTGACCCATGCATGCACCAAGAGGTCACCAGTTCGATTCCCAGTCGGGGCACATGCCCAGGTTGGGGGCCAAATCCCCAGTGGGGGGCATGCAGAAGGTGACCAATCAAGGTTCTCTCTCTCCTTCTCCCTTCCTCTCTCTCTAAAATCAATAAAGAAAAAAAAAATATTAAGAGTTTATTTGAGCAAAAACTTATTCGAGTTGGGCAGCATCCAATCATCCAATCTAGCAGACAGAAAAGAACTCCAAGCAACTGTACAAACTGAAAAACTTCACATACTTTCCTTTAAGGGATGGTAGGGGCCTATCAGGCTGATTGACTGGTTTAAAACTGTAATTAAGTCTTCATTTGGTGATGTGGGCTTAGCATATGCGACTCCATTTTGGACCTGTTGTCTAACAGTTAACAGTCCTACACCCTATCAGACAAAGGCGTGGCTCACTTACAGTGTATAGTAAAATCCTTGTAGATGAGCCCTGAAGGATCCCTGACCAACCCCGGGGCAGGGCGATCAGAAAGGAAAGGCACTAGGGAAAAAGCACCCACAGAGCAAGAAGCAGATCTGGCTTCAGTGCCTTTTTTTTATTTTTTTTATGCTCACCTGAGGACATTTTTCGATATTTTGTTCAGATAGAGTGGGAGGGAGAGAGAGAGAGAGAAACATCGACATGAAAGGGACACATCGAGTGGCTGCCACCCGCACAGCCCAACCAGGGCCGGGGACAAACTGCAACCAAGGTACGTGCCCTTAGCGGGAACCGAACCCGGGTCTCTCCAGACCGCAGGCCAACGCTCTAACCGCTGAGCCAAACCGGCCAGGGCATGCCTTTTTTTTTTTTAATTTTTATTATTGATTGGTTTTAGAGTGAGAGAAACACTGATTTGCTGTTCTACTGATCCATGCATTCACCAGTTGATTCCTGTATGTGCCCTGACTGGGGATCGAACCTGCAACCTTGGTGCATTGAGATGATGTTCCAACCAATCGAGTTACCCGGCCAGAGCCTCAGTAGCTTTTCACAAGAGCCTAGCATCTAGAAGGCAGGCAATTGACCACAGATACCTTCACCTTGGTGACATCACAGGAAAACTGAGGAACATACTCAGCCCACCATCCAGAACTCCCCCAGAGTTACCAGAAGAGGGGAGAGTCTACAGTAACAGCAAAATAGCAAATTATATCAGCATCTATCCAGTTGATGCTAAGGGGTCCACATTCTGCATAAACCTGCCTCAAAGAATCTGGAAAGAGGGCAAAGGCTTCGTTAGGAACATGAGGAAGTTCTTCTGCAACGGGAAGGATTTGTAAAGATGTAGAACATTTCCTGGGTGCAACGGACAAGAAACAGGCATCACACTACTGAGCCTGCCTTCTTCACAAAGGGCGAAGATACCCATGAGCAGACCTGAGGCCAAGCCGGGGCCCAGCTGAGGTCAGTCACACCACAAACAGCACACCGAGGTCAGGGTAGGAACACTCGGGCACTAATGTGGAGCCCGGTTCCTAAGCTACTTCCCGGGAGCACTCTCCTGCCAGTCTAAGGCAAAGCAGCTGAAAACCAAAGCAGCAGCTACCATTTCTCAAGTGTCTTCTGAGAAGATTTACAAACATTATTATAAGTCATATCTCACAACAAAACCTGTTATGATCTCAAGACCTATTTTCCCCACTTTAGAGATGAATTCAACACTATGAAAAACGTAAAATTTAAAAATGAGCAAAAGAGATTCAATGTCATGCTGGAGCCTGTAGGTGCTGTACTTTCTACAGGGGTGTGTGCCTTTGCCTGAGGCAGCACCGGGACCTGGGTCCAGGATCCTAAGGGCACCAGATGGTCAAAAGGAACGCCAGACCCCAAAATGTCTCCACCCCTCCACTCCCTACTCAAAAACACAGAAGTAGCTGATTGGATCTTCCTTCTCTCTGCCTTCTTAACTTGACCCACAAGCCAGGGACTCCTGACTGACCTTCCCAGTGTGGCAGTAATGAGCAGTGGACCATCTTGCCCTGACAGCTCTGGAACCAATGTACTTACCTGGCAACAAGACTGGGAAAGAAATCACCCACGACCAGGACTGAAAATTCTGCAAATCTGCCTTTTTCAAAAAGACTCCCTTTGCAGGCAAGCCGTTTGCCCCCAGCCTCTGAGAGCAGTGGGGCCCAGCCTGTCCCCAGCCAGTCCCCAGCCAGGTAACAGAACACGCTTCCTCCGTGCTGCTCCCCTTGTGCTCGGGCATGAGCTTACTAAAATACGTCTCGACGTTTCTCTGGGGTTTCCTCTCGATTCTATCTTGGGGAACCCAAGAACCCTAATGCTGGAAACACTTTGGTATATTTTACACCTCTGTAGATATAAACTTTAACTTGTAGAACACCGTCAACAATACAAATAATTCATGCCCACAGAAATGCAAATTAACTGTGTTTTGTGAGATCCATTTGATTACTACCCTAGAGACAGATCTGTGGGAGGCAGAGCAAGGAGGACGGGCCAGGCACAGAAGGTCACCAGGACAGAACTCCTTGGGTGCCCAGCCATGGACAATTGTAAGGTGGGACCTTGCCCCCAGGTGACCTTTCCTCCCCAGCATAACCCTAGAAATGAGGTTTGGAACCCCTGATCTTTCCTCCCTAGAGATAACATCTAGGCCTCTCCTGTGTTTCAGCTCCAGACCCAGAAAAGCACCAAAACCAGACAAGTGACCCCACAGCTGACCTCAGGACCAGCTGCATTGACTAATGACCTCCTGCCCTGGCACCAATCAATCCATCAATGGAGACCTAGACCCTGGAAAGGTGCTGAATATTCTATTGAGATGCTCCCCTAAAATCTCCACCTTTAAAACCCTTAGGTAGGACGAAGGACCCAGACTGCTCTCCCTCCTGCATCTTTCCCCTCCATCTCCCCTACCCCTTCCCCCCAAAGTGCGTTACCATTACCCTCCTCACTCCCAAGCTTCACAATCCTTTTTTTTTGCCTCTGTAACTTGTTTCCTGAGCCCATTTCTTCCACCTCTATGAATTTCTAAGTAAATGTTCCCTTATGATTTGAGTCTTATCTCTGAATTCTTTCCTACCAGACCTCAAGTGCCAAGGTTGCTGAACCAAGGTCTGGTCTGACCCCACCAGTCTAACACCTGGGACCATTCTTGTCGCCACCAACAGATCTTATACATTTTAACATTTTTGTTTTGTTTTTTTTATCCTCACCCGAGGACATTTTTGCATTTTTTGTTCAGACAGAGCGGGAGGGAGAGAGAGGAAGAGAGAGAGAGAGAAACATTGATGTGAAAGGAACACATCGAGTGGTTGCCACCCACACGACCAACCAGGGCCGGGGACAAACTGCAACCGAGGTACATGCCCTTAGCGGGAACCGAACCCGGGTCTCTCTGTACCGCAGGCCGACGCTCCAACCGCTGAGCCAAACCGGCCAGGGCCATTTAAACATTTTTGACTGCACATTAATTTATGGTTCTTTTCCAGTCAAGATGGTGGTGTAGGTAAACACTGTACTCAGAACCTCCCCACCACATCAAATCCACAACTCAATCATAGAACAACCATCATTCAGAATGCCTAAAATTTATACAAAAGTCTTATAACTAAGGATATAAAGAAGCCACATTAAACTGGTAGTGAACTGGGCTATTTTAAAAAATCAAACTCCATTCTGATCAGTTATTCCCGCAAGTCAACACCCGAGCAGTTTTCTAAAAAACCTGGGACTGACACCCAGAGGAACCATAAAAATAAGGGGTTAATGGTGGCCTTGGGAAACTTGGAGGGACCATAAAAAAGAAAGAAATTAATGATGGCCCTGACCCCTGCAACCGACCCCCCTTCTCCTCTGGAGAAGTCTGTATCAGCCCTGATGCCAATTAAGTGGAGCCAGGAGAAATGTAAGTTTTTTCTTTGAATGTAGCTCTTTCTGTTTTTTTAATGTAGTTTTTTCTGTATTTTGTTCCTCTATAAGCAAAGAACAAGAAAAGGTCAGTGCTGGGATTTGGGAGATCCCCCAGCCCGCCGGTGTAATAAAGTGCTCCGTTACGATTCGGCTGTGTGTCTCTGGTTATCTCGCTGACACCTTACAACAGTAGGAAGGGCAGAGACAGGGAAGAACTGGTCCCACACCCACATGTGGAGGTTAAAAACAGGGAGGAATGTCTCATCTTTGGATTTCCCCCCTCAGGAGCGAGGCCCACCAGCCCAGGGTTCCAGTGCTGAGAAGAGAAGTTCCCGTAACTTCTGACTGTAAAAACCAGCGGGGATTGTGGCTTAGTGACATGGAGGCTGCTGAAGTCTAAGGAACACCTCTTAAAGGGCCTGGGCACTGACATATTTGTACTCACTCTGAGCTCCAGCACTGGGGTAGCAGCTAGAAAGGAGCCTGGGACATACTGGGAGGAAATGAATTGCCTGGTTTCAAGGCCAGGGCTGGAGGGACAGCTTTCTCCCAGATAGAAGTGTAGGCACAGACCACTGTTTCTTTGCTGAGCCCTCCGCCAGACCTGGAGGGCAGGTGCCATATCTCAGTCTCCATCAACCTGCTAATACTATCTGCCCTTTCCTGGTGATTCCCTGAGACCCTGCCCAACCCACTTGTGGGCCCAACGCAAGCCATTTCCTGTGGCTTTCCCATACACACAGCTTCTCTTGGCTCATGCTTCAGACTTTCCTAAAA